AGTTGGCTGTTAAAGACGACCATGAAAACCAACAAATATTCACATTGGAGAAGCTGGAAGCAGATAACAGATGTGTTTCTGACAGCGGACGGACACTCTTTGTTTGGAGCTCTGAAGTCTTTCCAAGTCACGATTCATTCCAGTAATTCAGACGAAGTCTTTAAGTGTCTGTATGAGTGTCTGAATGCAGCCGTTCAAGTCAAATCTATCGTTTTAAGTCTCTTGTCAGACACGTTTTTAATAGGAGAAAAGTAACTGGTTTCTCTGAAGGACATTTCTACCGGCTGTTCAAACCTCCTTTGACGTTTTCACCATGTGACCTCATGTGTGATATTTAAAAAGTAATTTGATAATTACATTAAAACTAAAGTAAGAAGCCTGTTTTGACACTGTGAGGAGAATAGAGTGCAGATATTTGTGTAAAAATGTAGGAAGTAAAAGGAACAAATCTGCTTCAAATGCTCTGTTGCGCTTAGAAAATGTACATTTTGAGTTCAAACCCACCTCCTCTGACCACAAACCACCACAGCAAACCCTCGAATCCAAAGCTCCACTTTGTTTAATGATGTTCTAACTGCGCTCCAGGTTCAGGGACATTTAGTTTACATATAAAGCTCCCAGTGCACTTCAGGACGCTCAGTCAGGTAGAGCTAAGAGCTGCCGTCCAGTCTCTCCACTCTCCCCCAGTTTGGGCCTCCACCCTTCTCACTGGGACTCCTGCCAGAGCTGCTCTGTGATTTAGTGCGCTGACCGCATGCAGCCGCTGCCATATGCCTCAGATGACAGCTCATATTTAAAGCTTCTGTAAGCTTTAACCTTTCTACATGAACCTCCGCAGAGCCGCAGCCGACCTCAAACGCTGCTGGATGTTACTTTGTACTTTTTAAACAAATTTATGACGCATCAAGTCTCCGCTGACAGAACTCAAATCCAACGAGTAGTCTCGAGTATCTGTGTGAAAAAACAACTGTCCAAATGTCTTCAGTGACCCGTAGATACCGATGTTTATAGAAAGAATATGCTTCCAGCTTTACAGTGGAAAATACAGCATGAGACACGAAAACCTTCCACTGAAAATTAAATTCTTTCAGGGTTTCCAGCTCCAAGAGGGAGATTAATGGCTGCCTTTAAATGGAGAATTATGGCAGAAAATCATCACGGATTAAAAGTAAATCTGTTAAGATCCTGCATTATTTCCTCATTAGGAGTGGACAACACTATCAGATTATTAAACGATAAGGCGGTTAACAAAAAGAAACCAGACAGAGGTCAAATCATTTAAATAATCCCCTCACAATTCAGATTTTTGGCTGTTTTGAAGATTATTTGTCTTTTTAATGAACAGAAAACTCTTCTGTCAGAGCCAAAATACCTTATCTTGATATGGAAATCTGAGCTTTGAATCCCCTCCAGACTTCTTCTCTTCCAGAGAAGTGGCTTTTGGTTTGAAGCTTAACGTGATCTAGGGACCTTTTTTTAATGTAGTCTGAATAATATGGAAGCTCATTTCTGCCAATGTGACAGGGAAAAAAGGATTCTGTAAATTATTATAATGAGAAACTGCAGCCCATTGGTGGAAATGGGCTTCCATATAATAAACTAAGACTTTTAAAAGACTAAACAGTTAATTAGCAGATGAATTGATAATGAAACAACCATCAGTTGCAGCCCTAGCAGAGATAATACTTTGATATGTGATATATATTAACAGCAGACCACCATCGTCCTGCCTTTCCTTTATCTGTGTCACTGACCAGACAGGACCTCCGTCTTCCACCTTACTGAATTATTTAACACGGTTAACCCACATTCTCACAATCTGGGACAAAACGACAAACCGGGCAGAGAAAACTAAATTACTAAAGGCCCCTTTACACTGCAGACTGTCCCAGATGGAAGTTTACAGTCATGAGAGAAATCTTTGGTTGTCAATCAAAAACAGCCGAACCTAGATCTCATACCTCATTAAACAGGTCTACTGACGGCCGATTCAGAGCTTCATGCCCGTCTCTAACCCACTGACAGTTTATATAACAGACAGAGCTTTAAGGTTAAGTGTCAGTTTGTTAGCTGCCGTTCAAGCAGCTACTTTGCATTTAAAGATCCCCAAACGATCGGTAGCACTGAGATCTCACAAGACCTGAGCTTCAGCAACTGAACACAGTTTGCATCCAAAATCTGACCAAAACTGGGAGACAACATAGAGTGAGGCCGAATAGACTGGAGAGCTAGCATAATGCTAAAACCATGCTTCTAACTGCCTTTGTAAAGTTAGCATTTTATGCTAGTATCAAGTATTGTCAAGTCAAAAGGCTCAAGTTCAAGTGAAGTCACTACTCGAGTTGCAAGCTTTGATTTTGTCAAATGAAAGTTGGCGTTACGGCCCAGTATTCATCATACAGCTGATATCGAACAGTGTGACACAGCCTGTACTCAGCTATTATTTGATGATCAGTTTGTTGGAGGTTGTGATGATTAATGATTAATTACACAAACAATCAACAGTTTCTTTCATTAGAGACGAAGCTTCTTAGGGTTGATCAATAAAGTTTATGAAGTAAAAAACTTTTTATTAAACCAACAAAGGACCCGTCGAGGTCTTTATGGCACCGGACTGCTGTACCTTCATGCTGTCAGATCGCTGCTCACAGCTCTTTGTTCCTGCTTTGGTAAAGAACAAACTTTCATTACATAATCCAGCTTTAGAGGTATCTCTAATCCAGATGGTTCCAGATTACCGCTGCTGGTGTTGATCCGCACAATGCAGATTAGAAGCAGGATTAAAACCCTCGCCGCTTTGTTTGGAGATGATTCGAGCTCCGGCTGGGATATTGTGTGCGTTGTTTTAACAGACACAAAAGATCCATGTTATGATATCATAACCCGCCGTCCCACACTGTGAATGACCAGTGGTTTTTATATTATCTGCTTTTAGCTTGAGGAAGACTGTGAGGTTGTCCCTAAATTCTGGGATTTGTTTGGTAATGAAGTCCAACCGACGGACTCATTAACAGTCTCTGGGTTTCCTGTCACAGCCCGGTAGAGTCGGTGTGAGGCAGATATCATGGAGGAGGTGGAGGGTGGTGGTGGATCCGTCATATGAAGACTGTCAGGTTGATTGTTCCCAGGGGGCTAATATTACCGGAGTTCAGCTCTCTCATGTAACCGTATCTCTGGCTGCCTGATGGACAAACCTGCAGTACGCTGCCCACTCAGAGTCTGGTTCTGGACCTCTGGATCCACAACCACGTATCAGATTGTATTGGTCTGATGTTAGTCCTGGTTCAAGGCTTTTGTGGGCAGATCTGAGGTTCTGGCTGTGAGTCAGTTAAGTATGGTGTTGAATCACACATCGATCGGTCGAAAAGCAAATCTGGCACTTGGGATGTTCACCGGTCCAACGGCCATATTTAATAACTCAGCACCAGAG